GTAACAGCAAATGAGAAAGCAGCAGTATTCGGTACACAGGGTGTATTATTTACAATGTCACATCTCAGTGAAGCATATTTGGTATCATCAACAATTATTAAAGGCGCTTTATCCGTTTCTCTTGGACGTTTGCAATTTCCAAGTTTGGATTATGATTTCACTGTACGCATGTTTTTCACTGAATCACAAAATGGTGATCAGGTCAACATTTATCTTTCACAGTTTTTTTCTTTTCATTCTAAAATTTATTTTTTTCACCAAAAAAAGAGAAAATTTTGTTAAATTTTTAAAATAAAATTTCATCATACAATAAATGGTAAATACTTCAAACATACGTCAAACATTAATTTAAAAAATTAAATTTTTTTTTTTGTTTTTGAGATGAAAGATAAATTAAAGATATGAAAGATATATACATTAACATTTCTAATCACTTATTCTATCATCATTTGCAAATTTTAAACATTTAAACATTTTTTTTTTTCCGTTGTATGATTTTCATTCGTTTATTTAGTAAAAATATTACTTAAGTGCTGTTTTTAGAAAAATAAAAAGTATTTTGGTTACTTGAACAAAAAATAAATAAATAAAAAATATATAAAAGAAAAGAAAAACAAAAAAGTTATTAAAATAAATCCATTTTTCATATTGTATATAATAATGAACGAATGAAATACAACTTTGTTTGTGTCTTTTTGTAATTAAACACTGAAACAACTATAGGTGATGAATTTAAATTCCAATATGAGTTCAAGTCATTCTTGATTTCAGTTCACAAAATTGTGTAACGAAATTGTACAGGAAGCGCGTTATGGGAAACGTGATGATGGTACTTTAACGCTTACAATTAACGGTCTTTTTTTTTCTCTTCATTCTGTTTTCATAAATGATTGAGTATTATTATACCATAAAATATTTTATTAGGTAAATTTAAGTCAAATTTGATTAATTACTAGTTGATGAAATGATTTGAATATTTTGAAGGAGTTTACATAAAGCAAGATGAACGTGGTGACGTTGAGGTGAATTGTCGTCCAAAACATATCAGTTGCTCGCCAACTGACAATATTGTACATGTGCGTACAAATATGATTGATATGGCTGTTCAGGTTAAACTTTAAAAATAATACTTGATTTTTAAATTATTACTATTAATACAAGAAAAAAGTATTTTTGATATTTGAAAAAAATTATCAAATATTTCTAAATTAATGAAATTGACAAAATGAAATTCAACTAATAAACAATTTTTTTCTATCTTATTAATCATTAAACAACTATTAGCAAAATTATCTAAAAAGGATAAGTTTTTTTGATAAAAAAACAAAATTTATAGTTTTTAAAGCAAGAAACATTTGAGATATTTGTGATAAATTTTGATCAAATAATTCTAAACAAGTTCGTTGATACAGTATTAGCTGAAGGTTCAAAGTTCATTCAAGAATTTATAATTGTTATGTTAAATTTTATTAAAGCAAAATTGAAGGAAAATGATAAGGCATTTGTGAAGAAAGGACTGAAACGTGTTCATGTAAGTCGAAGTGGAATGGTTGTGTCCGATGGTAATTGCATAACATCAATGGATCACTTCGGACATATCATCTCATCAGCATGATCAAATAATCATTGTTCATCTAATTATTATGATTGTTATCATTGTGCTCATCATTATCCCTATCATAATAGTCTTTTCCATTACTCTGAAATATATGCAATGCATATATTTCAGTCAATATCACAAAATCAATTACAATTTATTACGATGTATTTTCTGCCCTAATTCTCATATTTAAATGTAAAAATTTGCATCTTTTAATTCAAATCATAGCTCTGTTTACTGTTTAATTTGCAATTTTCAAGATTAATTTCCACCGGCTATTACAATATTGCTTCTTTTCGCCTCTTTTCATCTTCCATAAAAATTTATCATACAAATATTTCAAATGTTTCTTGTTTATTTCGCTTCATTTTTCTTCCTGTTTTATTCGCTTCCAAATATTTCCTCAAAATTGTTATTGCTATTCATTTTTTTCTTTTTATCAAAAGCAATTAATTACAATTTTTATTTCCTTTATTTATATGCAACAGAAAAAATTATTTAATTTTTTTCAAACTATTTTGGCAAATAATATTCTTTCTTTCTTTCTTTTTTGCGTTTCATTTCGGTTCTGTTTATTTGAGTAATAAATATTGTTTGACTAACATTGAATTCGTTTTATTGCAAAAGGAAATGGATAAATTTACGGTAATTACAATTAGGAAATATCGGAGGTTTCTTTTTTTTTTTATTTGTTATTTGCTATTCAATGAATGATATAAAATAGAAGTTCGGTGCAAAAACATTCCAATAACATTGGTAGTAGTAATTGCTTCGCGTGGTGTAAACCAGGTAGTAGAAGTGGTTCAGGTTTTACTGGTTCTCTCCAAAGTAATTCACGGCATAAATTTGGTATTGAATGAATGGTTGTTAGATGTTTCGATGAAATTTCTTCTGTAATTATTATGACATAAAATATATTTCATTTGGTACGAATTTTAGTAATTTCAATTGACATTACTATCTGAGGTACCAATTAAACTTTTATTAGTTCATCCAAAAAGGAAAAACAAGCGTTCTTTTTTTTAACATTCTGTATTTAAACTTCATATGAAAAACAACCAACACTTAATTTAAGTTAACATTAAACATTTAAACTATCTTACGTAACCGAATAAATTTTTAATTATATACCTGAAAAAGTTTCGTGTTGTTCGATGGATTCATTTGAAAATAATACCTTATGCACATCTGACGTAATTTCCTGTACGGATGGTGATGACCTTTTCCTAAAATATAATCTTTATTAAATAACAAATATAATAATAAATTAGAGAAATTTTTGTATTTCGTTATATGATTTAATTCCAAAAAAGGTGTATTTTCCTGTTTTTAAAGACTATTTGAAGTTTTCAATTTAAATAACAATCAGGTAAACAATATTGCAATGATTTCATTGCCTATAAAATATTGTCAGAACAATTATTTTTGTAAAAATTTTTACTGTTTTCCATAACCTATTCGTTTTAAAACCGCTTCAATATTGTCCAAATTTTCATCAGCCTTAAATAAAAAATTATTTATCGTAGAATTATTTGTCAAATCCTCATTCGATGGCTTAAATTGAATGAAAAAAATAAAAATTTGAATTTCATAATTAATAATTTTTTGCGAAATGCTATGATAAATGATAAACGTTCAACAATATACAATAAGTGTAACTGAAAATTTTTGCATAAAATAATTACAATAATTGCGAAAGATTTGTCTGAAAAAAAAGGAAATTCAAAAATTTTAGAAATTATTTATGATTAACCGTTAAATCTGTTGCAATAAGTGCAATTAGTGGATCGTGAAGAAATTCTCGGATATCATCAAAATTGAAACGAATTCCGGAATTACTTGGAAATATTCGATTAAAGAATGCCGCTTCAGTGATAACATTTCCTTCTTCTGTTATCGGTATTGCCATTTGCGCATCAACCATTACAGTATGTGATGAAGATTTAGAAGCATTTCCAATTTCCATTCTTGCAACCAATCAATGATAGCACTAAAATGTACAATGCTTTTTTTAATTTCACTTTTATATAACAAAAATTTCCATTGCTTTTTTTTTCTGGATTACTGTTAGTATCTTTTAAGAATGAATAGTCAAGTTTTTCTTTTTTTCACATAAATCATTTCCTATCAAAAGTAACTTTACTTTATCTGAGAGTCATTTCATCAAAGATTAAATGCCAGCAAAAAGTGACCATAAAAGGATTATTCCGAGTAGCACTTAGCAATCAGCATTTCTTCTTCGTTCATCGTCTTCCACTTTTTTCGTCTTTAACCTTTAGCAAGTAATTAAAAGGTGTAATTAATAAATAAATAGCAGGTGTGCATATATCCATAGGTATTCCCACTCCTCTCTTCTTTCTTTCTCATTCTCACACCTAAATTCTATTGTTTTTTTTTTCTTCAACGTACTACCTGTCACTTTATGTGCATTCATCATGTAAATTGATGTGTTACTTTTCCGGCACCGTTGACCTTTCCGAAAACATAATTGCAATCTTTTTTTTTTTTCGCTTCTTTCCGTTTGGTGAATTTTCAACAATCAGTTTTTTTTTTTTATTTTAAAAAGAAAAGAAAAACTGTTCGTTGGTTTTTTTTCTTATTGTGACAACTTTTTCTTAAATTTAAAAAATTGTATTAATTGAAATTTTTTGAAAAAAAAAAATGTTCTACAATTTTTTCATTTTTTCTTTTTATTCTTTAAGTATGACATTCATAATCAACACAAGAATGTTGAAAGTAAAAT